CCTCCTTCCCCTCCTTCTCCTTCCTCCTCCACCGCCTCACCCTGATTGCCGCTCACGTGGGGACTGCAGTCCGCGTTCCTCGTGGTGTCCCCAGGAGCCGCTGGGAAGCCCCCCCTGGGCTGCCCCCGATCCCAAAGGAGCCGGGACTCTCCTGGAGCTGCTTCGCCGAAGGCTCTTCGGGCTGGTCCAGAGCTTCCTTGGTGTTGTCGGCCGCAAAGACGGTCCCCCCTCCTCCCGGCCCTCCCTCCCCCAGCCAAGACCCTCCCTTCGCTAAGTGGCATTTAATCCCGGTGCCTGCTTTAATTGATCTGATTTATGAGGAGGTCCAGCTCTGGGGGGGCTTTTCTCCCCCCCCCTTTTATTGCTTTTGGCGGGGCATTTAGCCTGACAGCCTCCTTGTTAATTTTGGGTTCTCTGCACTCTCCTCCTTCTCGTATTGGAGGGGGGAAGGTGGCTGTCAGGGTTTGGCTTTTCTATTTATATTTATTTTCCCCTTAAATTGGGCCTCCAAGTCTGTCTTCCCTCCCTGGAAACGGAGCCTTGCTCTTCACTGGTCTGTCCTTGCTTTCTTCTCCCTCCGGTCTGGCCCTGGGGCACCGCCTGCCTTTTGGATCCCAAGGCCGTGAGAAGTTTTGTTTATTTATATCCCTTTCCTATTTTTATTTTTTTTCCCCCCAAATAACTCCAACATATCCGACCTCCCTCCCTCCTCCTGGTTTCCGTGCAACAACAACCCTCTGAGGTAGGATGGTCTGAGAAGGAACAAATGGCCCCGTTGGCTTTCATGCCTGATTTGAACTCTGAGCCTCCGGGTGATCGGCGCAGGCGCCCAATGGGTTTCAGGCCTAAGGCGGGACTAGAACTCCCCTCCCCCTGGCGATTGGCCCGAAGTCACCCAGACGGCTTTCCCAGCTAAGTGGGGCCACTAAAGTTTCCCAAATTCACTTGGTACCCCAGTTACAACCCTGCTTGAAGCTGGATCCTCCTTTGGTGATGGGAACTTACGCTATAATTACTGCATAGGTGGACATATTCTAAATCATGACTTAAAATAACGTTATCGTCTCTTTGAACATACACCGATCGACGTACATTGAAATGAAATTTCGTTGCATCCAGCTCTCAAAAGGGTGTCCATCTCTAATATACCCTACATGAACATGAACTGCCCCCCACAAAAAAACTATGCATGAATCCACATATCCACATGTTATGACTCCCCTTCAAAATTCCAAAGAACAAAACAGAAAGCAGCCGTTTCAAAATTAAATCAAACAGGAAGAAGTCTTACAAGATAACGGCTGGCAAAAATCTCAGTCCACAGCATAAATCTTTACTCCATCCGGCAAAACAGTCCTGGCAATAAATCTCCAGTCTCAGAGCTTCTTGCTGTAACGTCCTCACTCAAATAGTCACTTTGTTCCTGGCAAATTCTACCAGCCCAGCTGTGTCCTTTTATACTCGTTGAGGCAACGTGCTAATTTACTGACTCGCCCTCCTCCTTCGTTCCAGCTGATTTTGCCTTTTCAACCGTCTTCTATTTTTTACATTTAACCACAAATTTTCCAAGTTCTCATCTCCACTAGAAGACTCTCTCAAAACTTCCCTGTCAGCCATTCCCGGCTGTTGATCGGATAATGAACCAGAGGAGGTCAAAGGTCCTGACAATTCTAATACATCAGGTCTGTCGTCCTTTGTCACGTCCATCTCCTCATCCTGGTTACCAGTCCAATCACTGAGCCTTGCCGGCTCATATTTTTCTGCCATGTCCTCCTCACTTGAACTCATATCAGTCACAGGAGCTGAATCCAAGCCCGGAGCCACAACATCCACAGATATTATTATAAGACACAGAGAAACAACACAGTCTAGTGCAGATGTAAACATAGACTTGGCAAGAAAAGCGAGTCTTGCGAGCCGGGGGGGGCGGATTCAGCCGGTTCAGACTGGTTGAGGTGAGCTGGTTGTTCCGGTGATTCCTTGGCCCCACCCACCTGCCCGCCCCCTGCCCTTGACCGTCCTATATCTCCGTGTTTTGCATCTCAGCTGTGCCACGTCTCAGCTGTTTTACTCACCGGGGCCGAAGCAGAAGTTTTAGAGCTGAAAATTTTCAAACATGCGCAAGCACAAAGTGTGCATTGGATGCACACTCACTGAACTGGTTATTACATTGGTTCAATCTCACCAGATGGGCAACTTTACAACTGGTGGACGTCAACTCCCAGAATTCCTCAGCCAGCAAAACTTTACAACTTGTGGACGTCAAATCCCAGAGAACTCTGGGAGTTGAAGTCCACAAGTTGTAAAGTTTCCCATGTCAGAGACCCCTGGCCTAGGAATCAAAGCAGTTACAGGATCTGGTAGTTCTGCTATTAAGACTTGGAAAGCTTATATAGGTAGCCCTACCGAGGCCGGGCCTCCAAAAATTGGTATAAAACTCACAAAAGTTCCCTCTCCACGCAAATCTTTGGGAAAGGCGAACCTGAAGAGGAACCAGACTACTAACCCTGGTTGCTGACTCTAAATTTGGTGGGCTTTAGAAATGGCTTGGAAGCCACAGCACGGACCAAACACAGCTGCCAGATTGTTGTCTGTCCAGTCCGGCCATCAAGCGAGAGGACCCGTTGAGGGGTTCCCCTTCTGAGGGATGTGGAGCATGGACCTTCTCTCTCAAACTCTCCGTTTCTGGGGCCCTTTTTGCAAAGAAGTTGAAGCCATTTCCTGCTTACCCGTTTTGGGTCTTTCCATTCATCCAGGGATGTCCTGGATTATATGGCTTTTAATGGTGTGCGAGGATTATTTATGGGCACTGCTGTGTTCTTTTCTGCCTATCCCAAATCCAACCCAAAGCCCCAAAGTAGAATTGGAGCATGCTATCCATAGCATCAAAGAAATAAGAAAAAAAAATATGAACAGGTGGTAGCCAGAAAGTAAATAGGGAGAATTCTGCCAATTTTACCTGGTTTTTAGAAATGCTTTTATTTAAAGATACTTGAAGACAAAAATAAAGTAGAAAGAATAGAACAGGATAGGATAGGATAGGATAGGATAGGATAGAATAGAATAGAATAGAATAGAATAGAATTCTTTTATTGGCCAAGATGATTGGACACACAAGGAATTTGTCTTGGTGCAGATACTCTCAGTGTACATAAAAGAAAAGATCCATTCATCAGGAGTCAAGAATCATCAGGTACAACACTGAATAATCATCACAGGGTACAATAAGCAATCAAATCATACTAGGAAGTAGTCAATATAAATTGTAAGGGTCCAAGTGACAAAGTTACAGTCATACAGTCACAAGTGGAAGGAGATGGTTGATAGGAATGATGAGAAGATTAACAGTAATAGTAGTGCAGACTTTGTAAATAGTCAAACAGTGTTGAGGGAATTATTTGTTTAGCAGAGTGATGGCGTTCGGGAAAAAACTGTTCTTGTGTCCAGTTGTTCTGGTGTGCAGGGCTCTACAGCATCATTTTGAGGGAAGGAGTTGAAACAGTTTATGTCCTGAAGCAGGACGTGAGGGGTCTGTAAATAGAAAGGGAGTTGAAAGAGAATTCTTCAAAGGTTTGCAAAATACCAACATGCAGACAGAGTTTACAAACTGCAAGTCACTGGGAAAGGTATCCAAATAACCATACAACAGGCATAGCACTTTAAAAACAGCAATTCCAGGGGTTCTCATCCTGTGGAGGGGCCACGATCTCATCCCAGGGGGGGTCCCTGAACTCTTGAAGAAATGCTACGATTTAAATGTCGAGTGAAATCCTGGGGGTCCATGGTTACAAAAGGTATTTAAAGAGGATCTGTAGTGAAGAAAAGATTGTGAACCACTCTCCTATTTGAGTCACATCAGGGGGTTGACAAAAAAGGGCCCATAATATATGAGAATTTCTAATTAATCTAAAACGGTTCATCCTTCATGCTGCAGCCAGCCAGACAAAATTCTAATGTTGTAAAACCTTTTCTGGAACGAAACCTGACACTTTGGATGTTCCAGGTGGCTATGGGCAATATTAGAATCCATAAATTATTTCCAAATTCGGTTAGGGTTAGTACAACTTTCCAAACTTGGACCCTTCAAGATAGGTGGTGTTTTTCTCTCAGAATTGAGAGAAATCATGCAGGCTGGGGGATTCTGGGAGTTGTAGTCCACCCATATCAAAGCATTCTGGCTGGGGGATGCTGGGAGTTGAAGTCCACAGGTCTTAGAATGGCCAAGATTGGACATCCCTGCCTTAGGTGGTCTCCTTCTTGAGCAACTGGTTAGTCTAGAAGACCTCCAAGGTCCCTTCCAGCTCTGTTATTCTATGATTAATGACTCTCTGGCCGTTTCTAGTTTGCCTGGGAACCTTCTCCTGGTCACGAAAGTGCCGGGATTGGCTCCTGAGAAGCCATGCTTCCTGCCTTGGGATGTGGGGAGGGTCTCCTCGGTTTTTAGCCCCAGACTCATGGATCTTTCCCCTCCTTCTCTTCCAGCCCTCTTCAACCTCATTCCAGTGGGGCTTCGTGTGGTGGCCATCCAAGGTGTGAAGGCCGGCCTCTATGTGGCCATGAATGGCGAGGGGTACCTCTACAGCTCTGTAAGTGTCTCTGGGGGCTTCTCCTTTTGAGGTGGGGGGGTGTCTCTGGGAGGGCAGACTTTTTGGAGGGATTGCATGAAAAAGTGGCTTTATTTGAGGACATTGGCGACATCTGCAGGTTGCAAAGTTGCCTTCAGGACTGGGAAGTGTTGTATTTCCCCGAAAATAAGACGCTTACATTAATTTTTGCTCCAAAAGAAGAATTCGGGCTTATTTTCCAGTTAGGTCTTATTTACAGAGAAGCACGGCACTAAATGTGTCTGTCTGGCTGACCATCTTAACTGGGGCTTATTTTTGGGATAGGGCTTATGAGCATCTGGGGAAAAAAAATATCATGCTATGTCTTATTTTCAGAGAACTACAGTAGGTTGACAGTATTCAGCGTATGGAGGCTTGGCTATCTGAGTCAAGTGAGGGCTTGTTGAGGAAACATCGAAACTGATTGTTCCCTTGAATGGACTTTTCTGGGATGGATGGTGGGTGAGTGGACACCTTGGCCGGCATCGTCCAGATGTCTTCAGAAAGGCCGATTGGGAGGCTTGAGATTGTGAGCAAAATGGCTGTTGGTGGCATACACACCGGTGTGAACCTGGTTCCCTGCAAACAAATGGGATGTTTGTATCCCGCCTCCTGGTCGGGTGTGTGCTGAAAGTGGCCCTCAGGTGGCCTTGTACCTGGATGGTGGATGGATCTAGTGCTATGGCCTGTCAACCGCCAGCCCCTCTGGCAATTGAATCAGATGAGGAGGAGGAGGACGAGGCGTGGAGTCAGGGCCAGCTCAGAGCAACCTGGGAGCTCCGAGGGGGAAGAGGGAAGAGCTAGCAAAGAGAGAGAGAGAGACAGAGGTGGAACCTGGGCCGGCCGTCAGCCCTCAGGTGGAGCATCAAGAGCCCCCAGGTCTGGAGGTGGCTGATGAGGAAGAGGAGGAACAGCCGGGTCCAGGGCCTGACGGTTGGATTTGCAGAGGAGAGGAGAGCAGTGGAAATCTATGGGCCGGCCCTCGGGACGGAAGAGCCACAGCTGCTAACAAGGCCCCACCTGAGCTCTGGGGATCAAAGGCAGGGGGGGCGGAGATGAATAGGGGTGGCAGACAAACTATTCCTCTTCCGGACGGACTTGTTAGTCTGCGGTGAGAGAGAAACTTTTCGCCGGGGCTCCTAAGAAAGGAATCTTCTGAGTTCACTTTGGAGGGTTTGTCGTGTTTGGGGAGCCGGGTCCGAACCTCTTGGTTAATATTTTTTGTTTGGAGTGGTCAGGAGCAAAGTGTGAGGGAAAACGGATGTGGGGGAATTGAGGACAGGGGAGAAAATTACAATAAATGTTCACTTTTGCTCCTTAAAGAGGCTTAGGAAAGAGTTTGGGAATTTCCTACTGAAGAGTTATTTCAAATAAATTGCAGGTTGGTCCTTGACTTATAATGGTTCATTTACGGACTGAAGTTACTAGAAAAAAAGTGACGGATGGCCATTTAAGACTTACGACGGTCGGAATTCAGGCCCTTGGCAACCAACTCATATTTATGACGGTTGCAGCATCCCAGCGTTCTGTGATCCCCTTTTATGACCTTCGGATAAGCAAAGTCCAGGGGAAAAGCAGATTCACTTAACAACCGTATTCCTAACAATTGCAGCAGTTCACTTAACAGCTATGGCAGAAAAAGGTCTTAAAATGGGACACGTCTCGCTTAGCCACAGAAATTGTGGTCATAAGTCAAGGGCTATCTCTACTTGCCCGGCCTTCAATGCCTTCGATTGGCTGGAGGGAACCCATCTCTTCTACGGAGGGGTTTTTAAAAAATGATTTTTGGCAGACATTTCGAGACGGAGCGCCCTCGGCCTTGCATTGTTGTTTCCGAAAACTGGGTCTGCTTTGCTGCAAACAGATCATTCCCTGTCCTGCCCCTGTGGGAGTCTGACTCCGCGGGAGAGGAGGAACAGCCGACGGGGAGGGGAAGTGTGACTCCGGAGGTTGTGGAGGAGGCTGGGGAAGGGCACAGACCGGCTGGGCATTCAGAGGAAGACCCAGGCCCATCCCCTCTTCATCCTACGGCACACAGGGAGGAACGGAGAAGGGAGAAACGTGAATGGCGCTCCTACGGGGGAGGAAAGGGCCCTGATCTCCTTCATGGGCTGCAGCTGTGAGAACTGGTTAAAAGGACGGACGTGCGTATGGGCCAGTGCTGGAAACAAAGCATGGAAATATCTCTAGTCTGTTGTTCCTCTCTGAGTTTGGCGTCCTTCCCAGTGTGTATTTCGATATTTGTGAACATCTTCAAGCCCTTATCCTGCCCTGGTTCAGTGTGGTTTGTGTTGTTTTTGCTCTTTATAATTGACGGGCATTTTTAGTTCAAACGGCATTTTCTCCTTTTCGTAACTGTTTGTGGGGGAGTTTTTTTTTGTCTCCACTCGACGATATTTGGAGCTGTGAAGCCAAGCGAAGGAATAAAAGGGGCTTCGCCTGTTTTTGGGGACTGTGTTAATTTTGTACCCCACCCTGGGTCATCCGTTCCCCCTCCCTGGCATTCAGTCTTGGCACCAGCTTCCTTTGGAGTAGACTGCTGATAATGAAATTATTTTAGCGGAAACAGTCTTGGGCATGGAAGAGAGGCCAGTTGGAAACTCGGTTTTTCTTTTACCCCCCAAAGAGGTGGAGAGTTTGGGGAAAGTGCAAAGAAGAGCAACTAAAACTCTGAAAGGGCTGGAGACAAAAAAACCTACGAAGATGTTGGCAGGATTTGGGGATCTCCAGTTTCATGAGAAGAGGCACCAGGGGGGACATGACAGCATCTTCCAGTATTTGAGGGGCTGCCCCAGAGAGGAGGAAGGGGGGGGTGTCAAGCTATTCTCCAAGGCCCCAGAAGGCAGGAGAAGAAGCAATGGATGGAAACTAACCAAGGAGAGGAAGCGACCTGGAATTCAGGAGCCATTTCCTGACAGGGAGAAGGATTGACCAGTGGAGTGGACGCCTTTTCCAAGAGGCAACCGGACTTTCTGGTTTCTCCTCGAAGACATTTGGCTTCTCATCCCCGAAGCTTCTTCAGGGTGACCTGGAGGACGGAGAATCTCCCTAGACAGCAGAACGGAAGTTGTGGGTCACAAGGGAGGTTTTGAAGAAGAGATCAGACAGCCACTTGTCTGAAATGGTGTAGGCTCTTCTCTTTGAGCCGTGGGTAGGACTAGAAGACCTCCGGGGTCCCTTCCGATGGAAGCCTCCGCTCAGGCTGCAAAGGAGCAGGAAGGTTGCAAGGGAGAAATTTTAGCTCTGGGTTGCACTTCAAAGGGAAACGGCGCTTATGCAGAAGTCTCGCCCCCGCCAGAAGCTCTAAATAATGTCTCTGTGCGTGTGTGTGTGTGTGTGTGTGTGTGCGTGTGCGTGTGTGTGCGCGTGTGCAGTCATCTCTTTTAAATAGCTGCTGGTCCCAGGGGAGCGTTTGCATCTCCCCTTCTTAGCTTTTCCTCCTTTTATTCTGCTGCATCTCCATGCACGAAAATAATCGGCAGTAGCAGGGAGGGGAAGGGAAGGGAAGGGAAGGGAAGGGCAGGGCAATGGGTTTGGAGGGTGGTGGGGAGAAGGGGAGGCAGCTGCAGCTCAGCCAAAGGTTTTCCCGTCTCTTGCCGGTGTCAGACCTGCTTTGCCAAGGGTGGCTGCGGCCTCACTCCTTCCGCGACTTCCTAGATTGTCCCCGCTGTCACGAAATTCCCCCGTGGTCCCAGTTTCCTTCTCTCCGTGGTGGGTTTCCCTTCCTTGCTCTGTGGGAGAGGCTGGCTGGCAAGGGGAGGCGGCAGCTGTCGGGCGCCAGGAAAAAATCCTGGATGGTTTCCCCAAGATTTTGGCAGGCGAGGCCTCCTTTGGTCCCCTTGGAAAGCAACATTTGGAGCCAGGAAAGAGGCTCCTGTCTGGGCACTGGCAGGTTCACCCAAGCTCGCCTTGCCTCCCACTGCACTGTCCTTCAACACCAGGGGAGGCCAAGCTAGCCGCCTTCAGCCAGGGTCCCTCAGCCTTAAGATGGGTGGACTTCAACTCCCAGAATCCCCCAGCCAGCTTTGCTTTTCTGTTTCTTTCTTCCTTATCCCCCCAAAGAAGAGATATTGCGCCGGAAGGGATTGCAACAGAGTTCAGCTATGCTGGCTGAGGGATTCTGGGAGTTGGAAGTTCCCAAGTCTTCAAGTTGCCAACTTTGGAGACCTCCTTAAAAGTCCACAAGTCTTAAAGTTGGAGGCCCAACGTTTCCGTTGCTAAGTGAGGTGTTTCTTAAGCGAGTTTTCCCCCATTTTGCAACCTTTCTTCCCGCCGTTACTAAGTGGATCATCGCGACTGTTAAGTTAGAAACACGGTTGTTAAGTGAATCCGGCTCCCGCATGGACTTTTCTTGTTGGAAGGGGATCGTGTAACCGACCGTCATAAACACGAGCCAGTTGGCAAGCGTCTGAAATGTTGATCATGTGGCCACGGGGATGCGGCAACGGTCGTAACTGCAAAACACGATCCTAAGGGACTTTTTCAGTGCTGTTCTAAGTTTGAACAGTCACGAAATAAAGTCAAGGGCGGCTCGTACAGGAGATTTGTAAGTTTCACTGTCCCGATTTGGGCAGGGATTCCTCTGGAGGGAGAATTCATCTTCCTCTGCCGGAGCCATTTCCGCCCCCCGTGCTCAGATTTTTTCGGCATTTGAAGGAGCCCTTTTCCAAAAAGAGCTTTCTTTGTCCTGACGTAGAGCGGAAGGAACAGGCCAGCCTCCCAACTCACCAACTCCAACCCAATAAACTCGGAGACAAACAATTCCTCAAAAGTTCCTTTTTTATTAGAGTTGTTGTTGTTAAGAGTACGAATAGAGTTCCTATTAGAGTCGCCATATTGGCACATCTAACGGACGTGGTGGCTCAGGGCCCAAGGCGCTGAACTTGTCGATCAGAAAGGTCGGCAGTTCGGCGGTTCGAATCCTTTGCACCGCGTCACGGAGGGAGCTCCCCGTTCCTGGTCCCAGCGGCTCCTGCCAACCT